TTGTGTCAAACAACAGCAGTATCAATAAGTAAGTACTGATTACAGAATGGGCTAGTAGAACATCTGACAGATAGCTTCCATCACTGAACACTCTTCTTATGTAGAATTATAATAATGCATGTTCTAAAGCATGGCAGAAATAATGAGGGGCATTTATCAAGTTCTTTATTTTTAATATTCATCTGTCTTTTCCTACTTAATTTTTAGATATTTTATTTACATGTTTAGCAATGACTTTTACCCAAACACTTAACCAACTGTTGAAAAGTGTTCAAAATGAAATGGTACTAACTTAGAAATGAAAAGAAGTAATTACCTTTAAAAATGGCTAGGGAAAAGCCTCATCAATAATCATTGGAATCTATTTAAAAGTAAAAATATTTAGCTATATTATGATTTATATTTAAAATACAATCATAATACATTCCTATTATTATATACTAGCTTACCAAATGCATTTGTTATTGAATGCCTACTTTCATGTGTGTACATTAAATGGCTGAATATATTTATCTCTATACTGTAGCTATATACATACATGTATAAGTAGTTTCTTTAGCAGTCCTTAAATGTAGATATTGATGACTTTGCAGAAAATGAAACTGAATTTGAGACATCAGATTTAACCGAAATAGCAAAGCAAGTAACACAAAAATCTAGACTAAAAAGTTGTGTTACTATGGTAAGCACAAATTTATTTTATGTGATTTTAGCATCTTACAAAAAAGATTTGCAGTGATTCTAGAATAGAATATGAATATAATAGGCATTTTCAGAGGCACTTTTCATAGCCATTCCATTAAAGTTTATATTTGAAATTCTATCAAATGATATGATAAGATCGTAAGGACTTTGATCCCAATTGATCCCCGAGAGTGCCATTTCCCTTCTCTCTATGTGAATTGCCAGGAGCTGAGGAGTTGCACAGAGTAGCAAGGCAAGGTTTATGTAGCTAGGTGTGGTAGCATATGCCTGTTTCCCACCAACCAGGAAGTTCAGGTAAGGAAGGAGGGTCTTGAGTTCGAGGTCCATCTGGGCTTTCATAGTGACACCCTGCCATTAATATATGTATTATGCTGAGTGGGAAACAAATTATTTACTTTGAAATATTTTATTCCTTATAGGGATTGTTTATAGAAACTGAATCCATTAGATTTATCTAGAAGAAATGTTAATTTTATATTATCAGAGAGAGCAAAAGCATAATTTGTTAGCAAAGCATCCTATTTATCCTATTTACAATGTATTTCCATATCCCATGTTCATGAGAAAATATTATCCAATAGACTTGAAAGGATAATTACTTAATAGAATTTAAATCAATACATGAAATATGATAAACATTTATTTTATCTGATTTTACTTTTTGGTATTTAATTGAATATATACATTTATTTCATTTTGGCTTTTTAAAATAGTGACCTTCAAACACATTATATTTTGTCCTCATTACTTTGGGTTTAAGAATGTATGCTTTATGAACGACAAGCAAGATTGTTAGGGACTATGACGAGTGAAATTATCCCAATTTTTACGAAACCACTGAGGCGTCACCATGCAGTCTAATTTGGCATGTGATACACACAAAATTTCATTAAAAAATCACAGTGGAAATGTCCTTGTACATATCTTAATGCACCTGTCTAATATTATTAATCTTCACTTACAAATTCGGTTTTCTTTTGGTTTGTATTATTTGACCTGAAAGTGGAATATGTAGTGGCATGTATGTCAAATGTTTACAAGAAGAAATGTAGGACAGATAACCAAAGGGGGAAAAAGAATTAAGCAGGACATTTCTTCACTGCAGAGTCGAGAGCTAGAAAATGCACCCATTTCCTCTGCGTCTATAAGTGAAAACTCATAGGTACATTTGAGTTTTACTGTATTTTTTGATAAATGAGTCAGAAAGCTTTGTTTGAAAAGTCCAAGTAGTTTTTTTTTTAATTTATAATTTAATTTTACATATCAGCCACGGATTCCCTTGTCCACCCCCCTCCTGCCGCCGCCGCGCTCCCCCCCTTCCCCCCAGCCCACCCCCCATTCTCATCTCCTCCAGGGCAAAGACTCCCCTGGGGATGGAGTTCAACCTGGTAGATTCAGTCCTGGCAGGTCCAGTCCCCTCCTCCCTGGCTGAGCAAAGTGTCCTTGCATAAGTCCCAGGTTCCAAACAGCCAGCTCATGCACTGAGGACAGGTCCCGGTCCCACTGCCTGGATACCTCCCAAAGAGTTATTTTAAAGAAATTTATGAACAATCACAGTCCTCTCAACACTTGACACATAAAGTAACTAGCAATGAAATTACAATGATAGTTTTTTAACAATAATATATGGCAGTTTGTTTCTGTTATATCATGTTTAAAAATCCAAAAAGTTCGATTTTCTGTGTTGAATAAGCAATAACAATGCATTTAACTTGTAATAAATTGGTATTTTAAATAAAGAACAGCAAGGGACCATTTCCTCAGTGGGATTAAAAGGACAGAAAAGAACTTGGGTCTATACATTGTGCCAATCCACATTTATCTGTCAGAGTGTTTTCTGGCACCACTCAAGTTCCTCCCTTGCTTTCCCTCTTTATTATGGTCTGGCATTCCTCCTTTCCACCCACAAAGGTTTCAACCATCCAAATTTCATTACTTTTTTTAGCTGCCAGGGGCTGATGGCTTTCCTTATTGCTGAAGGCCATTTCCTTCCAGTAATGTAAAGAGGAAAGAGTAAATAAAATCCTCAATGAAGAAATTCTATTTTGTAGGACAGCAACACACCAAAATTGATCTCTGAGAGTCCATAAAAGCATTTTATACATATTTTGAAGCTCTCTCACAAATCTTCATACATAGTATTTTATGACATTATATAAAGTCCATTTTATTACAGCCTTGCCATGTCAGGTGCGAATCTGACTGTACCTGGTTCTGAAAATGCCACATGTTCCTATGTAAGAATGAGTTAGCTCACTTGTGATATATAAAATGGAGGACCTTCTTCAGTTAATGCACAGATCCATTCTAACCCTTTACTATGACAATGTGCCACCTTAATAACAAATTTCACAATGTACCTGGTGAAAATTCATGGATCCCTTTAATATAAAACATTGCCAAAACCTTAACAGAGAAAAATAAAACCCAAACCAAATGGACACTCACTACACACACACACACACACACACACACACACACACACACACACACACTGACTAAAACTGATCAATTAACCAAAAGTTAAATTCACAGCAAAAATACTAACACCAAAATTACTTGTTTATATTAAAAAATCATTTAATTTTGTTTTCTATGTATGATTGTTTTGCTTACATGTACTATGTGCTTACAGTACTCTCAGATGCCAGAACAGGGCATCAGATCCCCTGGGACTGGAGTTACTGAAAGCTGTGAACTTCCAGTTAGGTGCTAGGAACTGTGCAAGAGCAGCAAGTGGTCTTAATCACTGAACAATCTCTCCATTCCTTATTTACTTAATTTTTTGTATTATTTATTTATTTTTGTTTTTACATCCCAACTGAAGCTTCCCCTCCCTCCTCTCCTCCCAGTCCTAGGTCAGTCCCTTGCAGGCTCCTTGGTTATTAGTTCAGTCTCTGTGAGGCCAGGTTAGTTGATTCTGTGGGTGTTCTTATGGTATCCTTGACCCCCTGGCTTCTATAATCCTTCCTCCCTCTTCTGCAGGATTCCCCAAGCTCTGCCTAATGTTTGGATGTGAGTCTTAAGGGGAGTCTTGAGTCATGTAAAGTGAAGGCAATAGGGAGGCTTACTTTATATATAAAACGTTGAGCTGTGGAAAATTTCCCTCTATACAAAACTCCCATTAACCAGGATTAATACTGAAGTCCATATCTTCATCCTAGTATTGACGATGCATCTTCATGGCCTCTCATTCCTTTCTGAGCCTTCCTAAATCAGTACTTCATATTTCTAACATAATTTCATCAAGTACCTGGAGTAAACACTATGATCATAAGGAACTTTCAGGATCATTTCAGTAGACTCCCATGCCCTAAGTTCATTCAAGTCTCTGCAATTATTAAAATTAGTGCTTTAATATCTTAGACATCGATTTCAATGATCTTTAAATCCTTAAGATTTAATCTAATAGTGTCACAAGACTACTGATAGTTTCCACTCATATTAATTCATTTATTCCCATTTTCTTTAATATATATTTTAATCCATCTGTTGTCACTGCCTTCCTAAACATACATTATAATCCACTTATCTTTGAATATATTACTGCATGTACTGATGAAAGCTGGGATGTTTTAATTTTACCTCTTCGAAATCACAGCACAGAGTTGTAAACATGCTAGATGTTTGATCACTTACAATGTTGAGGCATAAGATGATACATTTCCATTATTGAGTTATGCTATAGTGAAATAATTCATGTATTCATGCATCACTAGTTACATAAATACATACAACCCCTCTACTGTTCATGCCAACACTATAACCTGGGTCAGTAGTAAAGGCGTTTTCATTTTGGCGTGTAACTCTACAAAATATCTGAGGAGCATAAGAAATACTCTAGAGTGAACAAAGAAATTTCTGAGATCAAAACTAAAGCTCTACAACCTGTACTGACAAGGTGTCAACAATGATCAGCTGGAGACAGAGATCTTGGAGTTGAGATATAAAGTCTGAGGAGCTGGTCACTTACACAAAAGACAGCAGGCAAGAGAGACAGACAGTATTTGAGATATCCTTTGGCTATGATGTTGCTTCCAGAGTTACAGGTACTGAAATACAGCATGGTAGGAACACACACATACACACACACACACACACACACACACACACACACACACACACACACACACACACAGTGGGAGTGGAGGAGGGAGGGAGGAAGGGAGAAAAGGAGGGTGAAAAATAGGTTCTGTAGAGGTTAGAACGTAAACAGCATGCCAAAAGGAGCTTGCTATTGCTGTCACTCAGTCTTGGTGCTTCCATGTTTAATTTAAATTTTTTTTTTTTTGCAGATATGAAGGAGTGAATGTTTATTTTAAAGAATAAACATGATGATATTGCTTTGAATGGAGAATAAATTATAGATAAAGAAATCATCGAAGTGAAGAGAGAAGTGTTCAGTCTGCAGTATGATTCCAAGTAAACTGTGAGGCTGACATGAACTAACTTTCTGTCTGGGTAGATAGAAATTCAGATGGATGAGATACACGGGAGAAGAACTATGGAATAGACATATGTTTGGGAGGGAAGGCTGGTAGATCTTTCTAGAGGTGGACAGGAGCAAATGGGGTCATGGGGTAGAGCAAACAATCAAAGGCAGCTTTGACACTGAATGAAATGTGAGTTACTTACTCAGCTTATAAACATTTAGAAATACATTAGAAATGTAAGACAGCGATTTAGGGAAAATTAAATATGATTAGCATTGGAACACCTAACCTGGTTCATGTAACATAATAAACTTTAGCTTCCTTATAAGAGTAATGAGAAGTTTTAGAAAAATATCACACTAACCCTTCTCACACTTTGTAGCCATGTGTGCAAATAATACAAGTAAATCAAATATGTCTTTATTATCTATGCAAATGCCTCAAATGATTTTCCCTTGCCATAGATAAGGGGAGCTGAACATGCTAAATACAGTGAATAAAAGGCGCTGATTCCTCCTCTGAATTTCTTTGCAGCCAAATCACCTCAGCAACAAGTATCAAAATACACAGAAGCATTATGGCTAGATGGCTCCCATGATTACCTGCGGCTCCCTGAGGGGCTGTGAGGAGGAGGGGAGGATAAGGAGGGCTGGATGTTTTTGGCAGACATCCAAATCTGACTCAGCTCTCTCCAGGAGTAGCACCAGGTACACTGAAAGCCCTGCTCTGCATCATAGAATTCCAAGCACACTTTATGTATATCCAGCCTCGGTGATAATGTGACATTGTGTACCAACTACACAATGGTTTACTTCTAAAAGGAAACTCTCCTTTAAACAACTGTAGTTGTTTTTTAATACTGTTAAAAATATTGACATCAATGGTCTAAACAGTTGGTATAACCTCCATTACATCAAACACCATATTTTGTCTGGCATCTTGTAGTGAATGAGTTACTCTAACCATCTTGATAATGTTATACATGGAAATAAGATAAAGGGGACTTTTTAATTATATTTTTAAAAAGAAATCCCATTTAGTTTAAATTGAAAGAATGAAAACTCTAGTTTAAATAGGTGAAAATGACCAAAACAGAAAGAAAAAGGTGTCTTTTTCCAGTGCTCAGAAAAACGAGCTGGAAAAGAAAAGCTTTCTAGGCAGAAGGGACCCCACAACACCGACTCACATTCAGGAAATCCCACCATTTGTGTAAAAGCACATGCTAATTTGGTCTTTATCTTTTCTAAATTAGCTTTGGAGAAAAAAAAAAATCCCCGAGCTTCATTCTGAAGAAAATTGCCATCAGATTCAGAAAATTTACTATGGATGCTAAAACTTAAAAAAGAAAAAAAAATACCATGTAAAACTTGTCGCTATGATTTTAAAGGCTGGCATTAGTGTTTTGTTTGATAATCTTGTTTGGATCACTTGCATATACACATGCAAAAAAAAAATCACCCTGAGTTCACGCCATTCAGTTGTTCTATCTATTTAGTCTAAATGAAATAAAACATATCTAAGTTTCACTATACAGTGCTCATTGGCCTGAAAAAAAAAAAAGCTGTTGAGAAAGGGGCTGGTCCATTATCTGTGTGTGTGTGCTTTTCCGGGATGCGTAGCTTTTCTGACCTTTCCCAGGTAAATCAGCTAATCTGGTTTTGCGTGCTCATCTTGGCAGACACAGCTATACTGCACATGCTTCTTTGCTAGTAAAGAAGTATGAGCTGGCCCTGGTACTGAGACCCATGTAACAACTCTGCTGGAGTAGTCCGAGAGAAATAAAAGATTATTAAGCATTGCTACCTTTTCTTCGCACATGCCAGAACCGGTAGGCTCAGAAGCCGCAGGGGTGTCAGGGGGAGGGGCAGCTTTCAGGTTGAAATAGTTGGATCTCTTTCACCGCAGACCGCCCACCCCCTTTCAAACCCTCTGTGCTCCTGGTGGCCTAATACTTGGTGGCTAAATCCGAGTTTTGTGAAATGGACACAGGTGGGTGTGGCAGTTGAAGGGAGCATAGTGAAGACCCTTAGGTCCCCTTTCCGCCACACCCGAGGGAGAACCAAGAGAAAAAACGACTTTCACTGACCTGCGACCCGGTCCCACGGATCATGCCCACCCGGTGTGTGCACCTGCGGAGGAGTCTGATCCAGGGAACTCTTCCTCTCTCCCCAGACTTCTTTTTTGCCACTGCTTCTTTCTTTGAAATCCTGTTGCTCAGAGCGCCTGCTACTATCAGCCGTGGATACCCAGGCTAGCCTAGCCCAGCCTGCGCAGCCAGGATGGGAAAGCCTTCAGTCACAACTGGAGCTTTGGGGAGGCCTGCACCGAGTCTGCTCCTAGTCTGCTCCGGATGAAGCGACCCCGCCCTCGGGCAGCCCGCAGCGTCGCTGGGCCTTCTCGACGCTCCCTGGGCTCTCAGGTCCCCACCCCTCGCTCCCTCCTCCCAGCCCTACAGACAGCGCAGGGCGGAGACTTAGCAATTGGGCGCGGTGCGGTGATGCTGGGGATGCGGCAGCCTCTGTACTGTGCGTTAGATGAAGGGACAGGAAAGGGTCCCGCAGCCTCTCATCCACGGCCACCTGGCTGGGTGGGGTGTGTGCGAGTGTGTGCCTGTGTGGCCCACAGCTAAGAGAGCCCTTCCCTCACCTCGCCTCTCCTCCCTCCAGGCCCTTTCTTCCTCCTGTTCAGCGCGATCTGATAATGTTTCCGAGAAGCCACTTTATGTGGTTTGATGGCTGAGCCTCAGAAAAACTCCAAGGTTGAGAAGAGTAGCAAAGCCCTGGAGCTCGGGGAGAGGGTGCAAGGAAGCATTGTCCTCCAGGTGCCTCCCTAGCTACAGGTTGAGGCCAGGAACTACAGGCTTGCCCTTGGTAGAGCTGGTTAATGGTACTCACAACCCATCTTTAGTCTTTGTCCTTTACCTGCTTCTTACAAGAGACGGGCGTGGTCTTCTAGACAGGTAAAGAATGCATATTTCTTTTTGATGGTGGACTGCAAATTGTAGAGGTTGGTCTAGGTAGGGAGGAAGACCAGTCAAGACCCCTCACCTGGATACCCAATCTGCCCCAAGAACTGTGAATTTCGGAGCTAAGATCAGAGACTGTGGAATCACCCCCGCCCCCCCCCCGCCCCGCGCGCCCTGCATTCTCTCTCTCTCTCTCTCTCTCTCTCTCTCTCTCTCTCTCTCTCTCCCCCCCGAATGTGTGTATGAGTGTGTGTGAGTGTGAGTATGTGTGTGTGTGAGTGAGTGTGTGTTTGTGTGTGTGTGTGTTGTGTCTGCGCTTGTGTTCCAAAGAAACTTGACAGGGAAAGCAATAAATTATATTCCTTAAAGAGATGCAAGACAAAAATCCTCTAAGGGAAGAAATTAGAGCATGGCAGGTTCTGAGACATGGTGAACTTAAGGACCCAGCTTTCATCAAGTGCACGGTAGGCTAGATGCACTCAGGTAGGCAAGGCTTTTTCTGCAGTGCCTTGCCATGCTCCCGTATCTCCTACTGCAGAAGTGAAGCTTAGGTTCAGAACCCATGGTTTGAAGCCCCAGATCTATGTGACCTGCTGCTTTGGAGGAAGGGGGCATGCAGGGACTGGAAGTGGGGCAGGTTGGATACTTCATCTTTAACAGGCAAATAATGTTTTGAGTTTGTTTTCTGAGTAATTCATTTGTTAGTGATTCTCAAAACCACGTGCTGAACAAGTCATCTCTTCCTTGGTTGATTTCAGATGTAGAAAGAGTTCAACTGTAATAGAAACGGCAATGTCACAGATCTCGGTTGTTGCAACTCTAATTGCAGAGCAATTTTAAGTTCCTAGCAACATTAAGAACTCGCAGAGATTTCCCACAGATCTATTTTTTTCCAGACATGCATAGATAATACCAATCCTTTCATTATCAACATCTTTACCAATGTGCTGCATTTATTGAAACTGAGGAAGGTACATCACTTACAGGATCACTTCTTCAGAGCTCTGAAGAGCATTCCATATGGATCTACTATAGTTTACTAATTCATATCTTCATTGCTCCCAAGAGTTGACAATTTTGAGTAAAGCATCAATAAATACTTGAACAATATTTTTGTGTGTAGACATAAGATTTCAACTCCTTTCAGTAAATGTCAAATAATACTATCATTAAACTGTATGTTATGAGGATTAATTTGGCAAGAAAATGACAAACTGTTCCAATGTGGTCGTACATTTTGTACTCCCCTAGCCACGGTTGAGAGTTCCTGCTAAACATCCTGCTGGTGTTGGTGGCATCACTGTTTCCAATGTAGTATCATCTTAAACATACTGTTAACAACAGAGCTATTGTTTGATTTGCATCTCCTTAATTATGGTGCAGTGCATATTTTCTTATGTTTGCATGTAATTACTATGTCCTTGATGTGGTGTCTGCAAAATTCTCTGACCCATTAGTAAATCAGGTTGCTTTGTTCTTATACATTGTAGCTAATATTCCCTTATCAGATATGTCTTTTGTATTCAGGCTGTGTGTTTGTTTTTACCATATTTACTGACATTCACTTTTGCAGAGTAGAAAAACTTAATGCAAACAAGGTCTAATTTACCAATTCCTTCTTTCATGTTTTTTATGTCTTTTTCTTATATCTGAAGTGTGATCACATGGGTTGGGTTACCTATTTCTTTCTCTTTTATTTGTATTTAAAGCATCCCTTCACAGCACACACTCTTCCCAGGACACCTCAGCTCTCTAAGAGTTCTTTGAACACAAAATCTTCTTTTGTTTGTCTAAGGGATATTTGATGGAATTTTGTTGATGAGTTCTCTGAAAAGGCATGAGTATAATTATTTTCTTAATTCTTTTTGTTTTTCAACTATTTATATTCATTTTAATTATTTAATTTACTATTTTCTGTTTCTCAAATAGTCTGTAATATGTTACTATAAGACTATATTTTGTGCTTCTTACATTTTTGTCAGCCATAGATTATATTTTTTGTCTGATTAAACATACAGACCATTTCTCCTCCTTGAATATGTTTTGAACATTACAGCGCATGCTGAGAATTCACCCCATACTAAGGGGTGTTACAACATGTAGAGATTGTGGAGAGTACCTTAGAGAAAGTTTGGGTTAAGTTTGAATTATGAAAGGTAGAGAATACATGGTTGATCAGCCAATGACCACTACATTCCTAAGAATTCAAAAAACTGACCTTCTGTGATTCTGTTTAAAAAAAGTGAGATATTTATATATATAAATTAATGACTATCATACATACATATTACCACTTGCAAAAAATTTAAAGAAAGCAAATGAATTTTTATAATAATACTGTTGTGTTTTATATAGAAAGGATAAACAGTACTATTAAAATTAAAACACAGCAGTATTGAATTATTTCTTATTAAAAATTGCATCTCAGTATTTGGTACATGGTAGTGTGTGTGTGTGTGTGTGTGTGTGTGTGTGTGTGTGTGTGTGTGCTGATGCATGCACTGAGATTGAACACAGGGCTGTGCAAACGCTAGACAAGTACTCGAACAATAACTTATACCCCAGCTTGGCAATATTCCTATTTAAGAAGGACAGAATAAGAGGGAGATTTGCTCTTATGGAAGTGAAAAATAAACAGCAATTATTGTTTTGTTGCTGAATGTTTATATACAAAACAAACCCAGTGTTCAAAATCAGAACATGATGATTTCATCCAGTAGTTTATATGGAATTCACTGATGAGTACCAGACATAAATTAAATTGTTAAATCAGACAAACAACACAAAATGAAACAACTAAAGAAAAGTGGGATCCCAGTTGTGCCAACATCTAGTGTTTTCTGGTCTAGTTTGACATGGTGTGGATTTTGTGCCAGAACATTCCCAAGAAGAAAATAACTATGCTTTGGTTTTTCATGAAGTAGATGTTCAGATACATTAAACATTGTTTAATTGTTCAGGAAGAATTCTTCCTGTAAGGCCAATCAGTCACGTATGGGCCTTTCCTGAATGCTTTTGTTAACCATGATGTGCTTCCAGTAGAGTAGTTTTGGATGAAAAATGCTGTTATTGATGCCCCATTTTGCAGGAAGAAATCTTAAGCTAAATAATAGGAGATGGGGGTATATGAACCATTAGTTTTCAGATCATGAAACATGATACTTAAGATTGATCCCTATAGAAAAGAACTAAGGTAAGTCCATGAAGGTAGTTTCCAAACCACAGCTCAGAAGCATCGAACCAGCAATTGATGGAAGAAGGTAGCAAGCTGAGCTTCTCTTAACAGATAGAAGTGGTGTGACAGAATACCAGCAAGGAGGAAGTCTACAGGGTACACCAGAGATCTGGAGCCAAATACTCTGGAGATTCTGGTTGATCTGGAATTAAATAGAAACAAACAAACAAACAAACAAACAACCCAAGGCAAGAGATATAACTAGTGTTAAGCAGAAGGTTGAAGGCTGGGAGGAGGTGTCCCACGCCTTTAATGCCAGCATTTAGGAGGCAGAAGAAGGAGGATCTCTGAGTTTGAGGCCAGCCTGGTCTACAGAGCCAGTTCCAGGACA